AACCCTGGAAAGGGGCGTGTGTTCGAATCCCAGCACTACCAGGCTGGAACCGAGCCATGTTCCAGCTGCTCCAACTATGCCCGTGGGTGTAGAAGCCCTGAAGCCTGGAGGTAGCCAGCTCCAGTCTTCGATCATTGGAGGACGTGAAGCATTGCCTCACTCCAGGCCCTACATGGTGTCTATCCACAAAGGAAACATTCCCGCCTGCGGGGGAGTCCTAGTCCACGCGCGCTGGGTGCTGACGGCTGCGCACTGCTATTCCGACCTGTGAGTACAGAACCCACCCCTGGCTGATGGGTTCCCACAGATTAGGGCCAGAGGAGCAGGGGTTGCTCTGCTGTTGCAGGGGCAAATAGTGAAACCTGGATTTAAGAAATGCCAAAGGAAAAGCCTTGATGCCAGCCCAGGGAGGAAAAGGGCCATTATTTACTGAACACCTGTAGGAATCTCACCAACCAGTAGAGCAGCAAACTAGGAACCCTGAAGGTCATTCAGCTAGGCAGGCGTGCCGGGTCAGGGTTGGTCGTGAGGTGTAAATGGGGGGATTGAATGCAATTGGGTTCTTTCTCCAGCTCCTCCGTGGCTTTGGGTGAGCCACATTTTTCAAAGGGGACCTCTGATTTGGGGTCTGTTGGCCTGATTTTCAGAGGCAGCTGAGAGCCTCCAGCTCCCCTGATGCCCCCTGGAGTTGTGAGCGCTCAGCCTCTCTCAGAAGAATCTGGCCCAAAGGTGCGTCGCGGGCTGGGCACCCCAAAACCAAAGCACCCCAAATCAGAGGCTTTTTTTTTAAGTGGCCTGAATGGCCCTGACCCTCAAAAGTTTTTGGGCACCTAACTTCCAATGGAAATTAGACACCTAAATACTTTTGACGACTCTGGGCCAACGTGCCTCCCTCTGCATTCCCAGATGATGCTTGCTCGGCTCATGGGAGGCGTCCCCATCTGCCCTCAGCACTCCAGGGGCATGCCAGGAGGATCAGTGGTGGGGCCAGCGTCACTGGGGTCATGAGTCAAGAGCTGGGGGAACATGCTCCACCAGAAAGCCGACTTGCTTCTCTGACTGCAGGCTTAGATTTGTGCCTCCCCGATGGGGTGTTGCCATTGGGATAGCCGGGTGTCCGCAGGGAGGGTGCTAACGCTACAGAGGCTTTCTTTTTGTGTCTCAGGAGTAAGGGTCTCATCAGGGTGCTGGTGGGTCTCCATTGGCAGCCCAGGAGAAATGCCGGAGTGCAGGTCTTCACTGTCGCGGAGTTTGTCCCGCATCCTTCCTTCAACCGCATGACTTTAGAAAATGACATTATGCTGCTCAAGGTATGTGGGCTTGCTAGGGAGCCATGGGCACCAGTTATTCTGGCTTCTGCTACAGGGGACCCGTCCTACGAGACAGCAGCGTCTGACCATGTGGCTAGGGCAGTGGAGTGGGTTCAAATCCTGGCTCTTCCTGTTGTGTGGTCTTGCAGATCGTGTTGTCTCTGTCTGCCTTAGTTTCCCCCATCTGTAAAATGGAGGTAGTAATAGTCCCTAGCTCTTATCATCAGTGGATCTCAAAGCACTTTACAAAGGAGAGCAGAGTTGTCATCCTCCTTTTACAAATAGGGAAACTGAGGCACACCAAGGGGGGGGAAGTGACTTGCCCGAGGTCACCCAGTGGGTCAGTGGCAGAGGCAGGACTAGAACGCAGCTGTCCTGAGTCCCAGCCAGTGCTCTAGCCACTAGCCCACGCTGCTAACTATATCAATATTTCCTTTGTGGATGGAAAGCGCTGGGTTAGGACCCTTTGAGGCAAGCCGGGGCATTCAACACTGTGTAGGATTTACTCCTTCCTCTGTTCCTCCATCTCAGGGTAGGGGGAAGGTTGAGTGGGGTGAAGCGGAGATGGGCGGTGCGGTGCGGGGGAGGGGGGGAATGTCTCTCTGGAGGCCTCTCCTGCAGCGGCTAGAAAGGTGAGATTCAGAAGTGACAAACTGCCTAACCCTTACAGGAAATCTTTAACACTAGCAGCGCTCTCTAGCCAGCCTCGAGTCATTCTCGGCTCACACCCTCGCCTCCGAGGTGCTGGAAGGTGTGCAGCCTGGCCTTGCTTTCGCTGACGGGCAAAGTGTTTCCCAGAATCTGGCCTCTTTAACAGAGCGAAGGAGGCTTCCCTTTGTCCCTCAGCTGCTTCCCAACAGCTCGGAAGTCTCATTCCTCCCACCCCTTCCCGCCATCCCTCGGCTTCTGGGCCTGCACAGTTTCCTCTAGGGCTGGATTTGGGGCTTGGCAGCCTGGGGGGTGGTGGGGGGAGGGGAGGTACTTCACTGATTCCTAGGTTCTGGGCTGCTCTAGGTGGGGCTGGTGCAGCCTTTCGTGGGCGTTAGAGCAATCGCCGAGGCACCTGCTCTGCACCCCCCACACCAGCGTCTGCCAAGGGGGGCCGTACACGCTGCCCCTGTTTGGGGGAATTCTCCCAGGAGCCCTGTAGCACAAAGGGGTGTTAGGAGAGGGCTGGAGCCAGGCCTCTGGCTGTTGGAGACTGGCCAGGCTTGGCTAGTGGGGGTTGGTCTCCGTGTGTTTCTCAAACCTCCTCAGGTTGTGGACTCCCCCACTTAAGACAGACCATCTCCCCAGCCTAGGTCGCTATAGAACTTGGTAGTGCAAAGAGTCCCATCTGGGCTCTTCGTATCAATGGCACAAAGCGAACCCGGGACAGGGCCGCAGCCTACAGGAGAAGCTGGAGGCATCTCCACTGAGATGGAAGCAGCTCGGGGGGACCGCAGTGGTGCTAGGGGTGGGAATCTTCCTGCAGCCTGGCAGAGTCTGTCCCCAAGGCCTGACCTTGGCTTTCGCTCCTGCCTGCAGCTGGACAGGAAGGTGGTTTGGAACAAGGAGACGAGGCTTCTCCCCCTGTCCAAGAAGGATGTGGCCCCGGGGACGCTGTGCAGCGTGGCTGGCTGGGGGAAGATCGGAGAGGGAAGCAAGTATTCCCCCGTCCTGCGCGAACTCAACGTCAAGGTGATGGACATCAGGATGTGCAACAACAGCCGGTACTGGCGTGGCGAGGTCACCAGCACCATGATGTGCTTCGAAGGGCTCGAGAAGGGCTCTGCCCCCTGCAAGGTGATGGCTAAACAGCAACACTGGTCTAGAACGGGCTGATGGGGGAGAGTCCCCAGCTGGCTGTGTGCAAGGGGGACGGCCTTGTTGCCAGGCCCGCGTGCTTAGCTGCCTGTTCTCGAGCATGCCTGGAGATGGCAGGATCCTACAGGCAGGGCCGGCTCCAGGCACCAGCTCACCAAGCATGTGCTTGGGGCGGCGCCTGGAGGGGGGCGGCGCGGCGGGGCACTCCGGCCCGAGAGCGGGGCCGCGACTGGGCTCGCTGCCCTCCCC